GACTAGAAGACCATGTTCCTCAAGGGTACCATGAGCAAAGCCCCACAGGCAATTTTCAGTCCTGGCCTGGACAGTACATGGTTCTTGATCTTCTAGAGCTTTGTAGACAAAATCAACACTTTGAATTTAGCCTTTGGCAGATGTCAGAGCTAAACAGATAAAGACATTTTCCCTCTTGTAAAGCTAAGTATTTTGGAGTGGTTTAGATATGAATGGGCAATTACGACCATTGAATGTAAAAAGACCTTTCTTAGCAGAGGAAAACTCCAAGAGCTGGTTTGTTGATGTGCATCTACAGAACTTCACTGAATCTGGGAGTGAATGTTCAGAGAGTGAAGAAAGCTGACAAAAAGAAAATCAATGCATTCAAAACATGGTGCTGGACGACAGCTTTACAAATATCCTGGACTGACAGAAAGTGGGACCTAGATCTAATCAATCCAGAGCTCTCCCTAGAAGTAAAAATGACAAAGTTGAGGGTGTCATGCTTTGAGCACATCATGAGAAGCCAAGACTCCCTGAAGAAGACAATCCTGCTAGGGAAAATGGAAGGCACAAGGAGAAAAGGGGGACCAAACATGGGATAGGTTGGGTCCATCAAGGAAGCCAGAGCATTGATTTTACAAGGGCTGAGCAGGGTTGTTATGGACCAGACATGAGGAGGGCTTTCATTCATAGGTCACAGACAACTTGACGGCACGCAACAACAGCTACTTCAACAGAACTCCCTGCATTTGTGAACTCTCCTTGGATGGCATCTATGAGAACTATTGCAGTGAGTGTCTACATTTCAAAATCTACACATTGCCACCAAGTCTGACCTGAGATAGGCTATCTCCATATTCAGGGATCTGTTTTGGATGTACCTCTAAGGGTGCTTTCCACACATTTGCTTATGTGCACCGAAACCGGGTTCTGGCGCAGGGTGAGTGATGTCCACGGCTTGCATTTGGATATGCAGGGCTTTCCTAAGTTCTGTGACAGCAACTGCATGAAGTCAGTCTAGAAATATGTGGCCCTTTAGAACCATAAACACACCAAGATTGGATACACTGCTTGTACCCAGAATAAATGGGCTGGTAGAATCCATCCTGCATTCAATTTGCAATGCATCTTCTCCAGAGATTGGGAAACGTGTCTCTTTAGGAATCTAAATAAATTGCCTGAAGTGAGGATGATCAACACTCATCGGAATAGTCTGTGTGTAAAACAAATTTGAATTTGGGCTGGGTGCGAAATACATTGTATGGGAAAGAAGTGAGATTTGTTAGCATTTTCTAACTCTCCATAAATCCCTTTGCAATCCTCCACACATGGCTTCTGTCTCTCCTGGGACAGGCAGAGAGATGGAGAGGACCATATTTTCCAGTACATGCAGATCTTCATTGGCTTTTGAGCAGTGCCACCTACAGGGGTTTGCAAACAAAGCCACAACCAGGAAGGATTTTATCATAGCCTCAAGCACAGGAAGTCTGGAAAGAGGGCTGGATTCAGTTTGACAGACATACTCAGCATGATAGACTCCTATTCCTCACCATGCAGGATTTGAAATGGCTGGCTGTGCATTACATGGTGCCTTAGTGCTTCTACAAATACATTAGTTTCTGTATAGCCCAAAGGGCCTGATCCTGCCTAATTTTGGAAGCTAAGCAGGGTCAGGCCTGGTTGACATCTTGAGTCCTGAATGCAGCAGTGGTTGGACCCGAGGGCCTGCTAGGTCCCTTCCACCTGAATCTATATGGCACGCACGTGAACGCACATGTTGGATGGGATCCACCCATTCCCCCATCCTCCATTTAACTTCTAGCGGTTTTGGGGAGAGTTCATTGGCAAATGCTAATGAGGCACCCCGAAAGCCGCCTTCCCTAACCTGCCTTTCAACCTCAGCTCCCAGCAGCCCCAGCCAACATGGCCCTTGCTCACGAACCCAAGGGCAACAGTCTGGGGAAGATGACCAGAAGGGAAAACACTGAGATAACACTGGAAAAGAAACACCAAGATAAAATAGAAACGGTGATTCCCTTTTTGGAGGGCCATAGTGCAGCGGCTGGGCACCCACCTTGCATGCAAGAAGTCAGAGGTTCAGTCTCCAGGCAGGGATGGGAAAGACTCCCCGAATCCCTGGAAAGCTGAACGGCTTCTAACCACTGGGAATAATGGTCTCTTTCTGCATAGGACACTGTCCTTTTTAATTTTTATTTTTATAAGATACAAATACAAAAATCATATAATAAAGAAAAAAAACACAATACACAAAGTAAAAAAAAAAGGCATCACCTTTAGTGCATCCGTCCACAAGGACCATAGCTGCCTAATTTTTTTTCTTTCACTTTTCCTCTCTTTCCAAGATACTCCCTTCCATCCAAAATTGCAAAACATCCTTTACGAGTCTATTACCCTCCCCCTTTATTAATACGTATTAATTAAACATAACCTATATATCATTAACATCATTTGTCTTTACTAATCTTTTTTCACCTTTATTTCTCACATTAACTTGTCATTAACTGCTGTATTAATTTTTTTATATCATTCAATTAATTGGAGATCCCATTTCTCCTTTCAGAGGACACTGTCCTATCAGGGATAGATCCTGGAGAATATGGACTGTTCCAAGGAAATCTTGAACAAATATTCTTCATTTGGCAACTTTTCATGAGTGTTGGAAGCTTGACCTCAGCACTGTCTTCCCACACCTATCTCAGCCCACTGACCACTTGGGGCTTTGGAAACAGGGCAGATACGGATAAGCTCTTTCCAAAGTTTCTGGCATCTGCTTCTTCAGATTCGGTTGTGCAGTCGGATATTTTTAGGGGGCCTCGCTTCTGTGGCCATCCTTCCTTGCTGCTCTCGACCCGTGCAGTCCTGCTGCTGCTCGTCTCACGTGCTCATCCTGAGCACAGGCTTCCTACATAGGGTCAAGAGTTAGGCTCCTATCCAAATGCAGTGAACCTTTTAACACGCCCTGCAATTGCCCTGTGAGCCTTGAATCTCACATGTGGCATTAGGGCTCTCTCACACCTACTCCAACTGTGGGAAACTCTTTCAGTCTGGCAACAACCAAAAGGAATCCTGGCCCCAGAACACCAGTCTAACACGCACGCCACTGCTCCCAGAAGCTGCAGAGGGGATGGTGCAGGGAAACACATGACAACCCAATGGCTGGTGGTTGGGTTGGTGGAGGGAACGGCTACGTCCCTCTCCCTCTTCATGGGAATGTGGGTCAGATCCTGCACTGGGCCCTGCCGGGGCTGGCCTCATCTCTACAGTCTTGCAGTGTGCATGGTGCAAATGTTTTCCCCCTAGGAAGAGCCCCGCTGGACTACGTCACCAGACTGTGCTCATTAAGCTTATTTTGCCTTCATGCATCTGGCGAGACACAAAACCGACGCCAGCTCTTATGGGCAGGAATGCCCATTTTAAAATGTCACAGACATTTGCATACAAGAGTGCAGGCAGTGTCTTTTCTATTTCAGGACCCTGAGACCCCACTGTTTAACTTCCTAGGACATGTAGAATTTGCTGAGTGTGATGCTTCACACAGCTCCCACAACCTCAGTGCAATTGTACGCATTGTTACTTAGAAGAAAGTCCCATTCACTTCAAAGGGAGTAACTGGTAGGTGCAGCACTGCAGAACAAACTGCAATTATTACTCAAGGGTTAACATTACATGGAGCTTACTGTTTAGTAAATGTGGTTGGAATTGCAGCTTAATGTTCAGGCTGGCACTTCCGTATCAAAGCTCATATTGTTCAATGTCACTGCAGAGTTTTACTTGCATATATTCATTTAGTGCTACATAAAGGCCGGCTGAATGCTGGTACCATTTTCTGTCTAAACATGTATAGTGTCAGGAAGCCTCAATGGCTACAGGATAACCAGGTTCAGTCAAGAAAGATCCCTTTTGTTTTGAACCTCAGCACTTTTACTGAAAGATCACCCAGGACCCCTGCAGTTACTTACGACAGCATGCTACCAGGTAGTGGTTCTCCTTGCCAACTACAAAATCACAGCCCAGGTACAGACACTTTTATAACCTGCTGTTCACATACACCAATACAGAGTGTCAAGTTTCCAGATGATGTTAGTACAGTAGCATCCTGATGTCTCAAAAATACTGGTAACAATATGGAAAACATTACTGATTGCTGTATTGACCTGACAATTGAGTGGACCTCTTTGCAGTTTGGATTCTGCTTAAACATGCAGGAACCATTATGGAAATCTGGTTTGGCAACTCCACTGAGCAGGCACTTGCCTCTGTGGGACTAGATGCTTAGGTGGGTCCATATTTATTATTTTTATATTCCACTGTTTTTACACCAAATTCAAAGCAGCTTACTTCATTCTGTTCCTGCTGCTCTCAATCTTATTCCCACAACAACCCTTTGGATTAGGCTGGGCTGAGGGTCTGTGCCTGGCCCAAAGTCCCCCAGTGGCCTCCACGGTTGTGAAGGGACTAGAACCCAGGTTGCCTGAGCCCAGTCCAGTGCTCTTAACCACCTCCACCCCAGTTGTTCATGTCTAAAAGAAGACGCACGCACTCAAATCAAGGGGGATTAAGTTAGTTATGACTCAGTGAAGCCCCATTGATTTCTGTGCATCTACTCTCAAGCCGGATCAAACTGATTCCATCCAATCCCAAGCCTGTAGCTTCCAGAGTAGCTTTCCCAAACTGTTGTGTATCAGACATGGGTCCGCTGGCTTGGGCTGATGGGAGCCAAAGTCCGAAGCCCGCAGCACACTGGCCGTGGGATCGGTCCCTTAACATGGCCGCCTTTATGCCGTCGTACCCGCATTATATGTATGGATGACACTCTGCTCCTCTGTCTCTATGACTGCAAAGCCGGGGGCGTTGAGGGAGACTGTCTAGGCATCCCAAACTCGGCCTCACTCTTTCTCCCGCCCTCCTTTTTGTCACATGACGGGCCGCTCCGGTGAAAGGCGAAGCGGTGTGGGTCAGCTGACCGGAAGTTCGGCTCGCACGTTTCCTGGGGGTGTGTTTTAAATGCCCGGATGAGGAAGCAGTGGCTTCTCCGTTATGGAGCGCTACGATAAGGCAGCTGTTATGGAGCGCTACGACAAAGCGGCCTTGAACGCGCTCTCGTCCCCGGAGACCAGGTGGAAATAGCAAGGGGGAGCTGGGGTGGGCGGTGGAATGCCCCCTGGGCGCCATCCCGGGTAGTGGGTCCCCTCTGAAGCAAGCCCCATTGAGTTCTGTAGGGCCTGGTCTCAGGCAGGTCAGTGCAGAATGGCACGCCTTCGAGGTTACCCATAATCATGTGCGTAGCTTCGGTTTCTCCGGATTAGATACACTTGATTTGTGTTGGATTGCAACTCCCACCAACCCTGGACTGTAGGTCGATGGTCAGCGGCTCTGTGAGTTCCAGCTTAAAATGCCTGAAGTGCACTGAGCCTGTACTGAAGACTATAAGTGGTAGGACTGGCTGGATCCCATTAAATGCGGTGTGTGTGGGGGGGTACTGGTAGTTGTAGTCCAGCATATAGAAAAAGCTCTAGGTTGGGGAAGCCTGGTGTATGGGTGCACCCCTTGACTTCCTCATGTGGAGTGACTCTATCTTCCAGCAATTGTCCCATTCATTTATTTTTGTACATCTGCACAGAGACTGTGCATGCAGTGGCTTCGTGCTGCCTAGAATAAATAAAATGCTAAGAAGGGAAAGACTAGGCTTGAAGTCTTCCCCCGACCTGTGCTAGCATTCTTCTCCCAAGGATGGGTTTGTTTCCTTTGTCATTTTAAAATAGAGAAGCGTTATGACTTGCCTGCAGTCTTTCTCCCTGCCTAGGGCAGGGTGGTGATAGCTGTTCACTTAGGCAAGGGTAAAAGTGGGGGGAGGGGTTGACCAAAGTCTTGGAGGAAAAGTCTGACTTTGTGACTGCTGGTGACTGAGTGCATATTTCATCCCTTCATGGAAAGGTGGGATTGCAACAATTACAATTAATGAGTAAATGATCTCTAGCTTCAGAAGCTGTATGTTACTTGATGGAGTGTAACAGCAGGAGGAGGTATTGCTTTCCTTCTGTCCTCTTGTTAGTTGATTTTGTTGTATGTATGAAATGGACCTCATGACATGGCAGGGGTGGGGTGTGGAAACATTTTCCTGTGTTATAGGAGGAACCAAAGAAGTGCTCTGTTAGGTGCTATGGCAGTGGGGGCTTGGGTGTGCGAATACTCTTGCTTACTTTATCGATGCAACTTTTAGGGCAAAAAAGTTGCACTAAAGATAGATTTTTAATTGAAGCTTGTATTAAATTTAGACAGACTGGGCATGCGGAAAAACAATGCCTGAGCCAAGGTCACCTGATGAGTTTTGTGGCTGAGTGAACGTTTGAGTCCAGCTTTTTCCGACTCCAGCCTGACTATCATATTGACTTGTCACTCTGAAGCCACAGAGTAAATGCATAAACACCTCATGGTATAAACAGGAGGTTGCCAGCTTGAATCAGTTTGCAGGGTGAGGTCTGAAAATACTTTGGAATTCAGCTTGGCTAGATCATGTTATTTTAGTATAAATAAGGGAAGCAAGTACTGTGCAAGCCCAAGTAGAAATGAGTTGCCATAGGTGTGATACATTGAAGGTTAAAGTCTGAGATGATAAACCAAATGTTTTGCTTAGCTTGCTTAGTAGCCTTAAAGGTTTTGCTGCTAAAGCTTGTCCTTTCTTAGCAACATACAAGTTAACAAATAGAAGCTGCAGTCTTTCATAATTTATTTGAATACTTCCATTGCTTATATTGCATTTCTCAGTTGATGTGCTTAAGCCAGTGCTGCTGCTAGGCAGTGACGTACTAGTATGTCAGGCTAATGAAGGAACTGTAAAAAATTTTAAAAATGTACACGAAGCCTCACTGATTTCATTATAATGTCTGAGTGATGATGTGGCCATACACAATGCCAGCAGACTGTAGCAGGTACAGTTAACCTCTTGCTTAGTATAATTCCTGTTCATTTCAGTGTAATTAATGAATGTATACCTGCTAACACATGCAAGTTCCTCCATTTAATCAAATGGAGATCCCTGGTGGGCTTGTGTCTGCACACACAGACCTCTGAGTTTAGTCAGTTATGTTGTGCAATAATGGTTACATGGCCAGAAGGCTTGCTACCATCCAAGCATCATTCGAAATCACCCATTTATAATATGGATATTTATTATGTTTATAAAAATGTGTCCCCACTAAAATTCAGATGATATGTGTTCAAATTATGGATTTCTCAATATCATCTTGCTTGTAAACTTGGAGCATCTTTTAATACCTTATGGCAAGCTCATTAAGTTAAACAATATGGATTATGCATCTCAGACCGTGTGCACAGGGTAAAATTTATTTTGTCCACCAAAAACACTAGCCTTAAATCATTATCAGTAGAAAACCCTGACCAATGCCAATGTTGATTCAACAGTTCTGAGAAAAGTAGGCATCATCAGAAGTAAATCCAGAGCTATTGAAAGTTTTAAAGCACAAGAAATAGCAATGCTTATCCTTTGTGCTATGTTTGTTGCAGAAATGAAGGTTCACTGGCCACAACTCTAAGGACACTTCTCTTCTTCACAGCTTTAATGATCATGTTGCCTATTGGGCTATATTTCTCCTCAAAAGCATATATATTTGAAGGTAACTTTTAAATGCCAGCTTTCTTTTCAGTTTTGTCTTATATTTCCCTCAAAGTAAATTATTTTGAATTTGTTTTGATTATGACATGTATTAAACATTCCTTTGATCTTGGAATTAAAAATGTTTGAATAATAGTGGTGAGCACTGCAAATGTTTTGTAGAATTATTTTGTAGGAACTTTAACAAGACACTGTAGAAAAAGACATTTTTGTGGTTTGTTAGAATTGATTAAACAATGTAAAACATTATAAGAAAGCAGCCTTTATTTTGACACTTTTCCTACTCTCAAGTGTCCTCATATTACTTTTTATTTAATTAATTCTTGTGCTATTCTTTAGCCAAGAAAGGTTCTCTGGGCAGTTCACAAGGTTAATATATACAATAATAACAAAATACAATGTCAGCCACAATAAAATTAGACACAAATAATATTTCAATAAAATAGCAGTAGTAAGCCCACAAAAATCTCACTCAAAGTAGTCTAGAGGTAAGCAGCTATAAAATACAGTGTAAACAATGAAGATACAATGTATTAAAACTATTTTAATGACTGAAATAGAACAGAGCTCTCTTCATATATGCCAAATGTTTGCTCTGACCTTTTTGCAACTGGGTGGACTGTATCCATAGGATTTTCTTGGCAAGTTTTCCACGGTAGGTTGCCAGCTCTTTCCTCAACCCTCCCCATTTCTCTGGGCTTGGGACTGACACACACACACACACACACACACACACACACACACACACGTAATGGCAGGAAGGTGGGGGTCAAAGCATAATTCAGCTGAAAGAAGTAGCACTAGATCAAAAAGTGTGGCAAGATTTGGCCCAGGGATTATATGTTTAGGGTTGGACACGACTGAACAGCTGAAACTGTATCCCCAAATTTAGTAAAGGAAGCTTCTGAAGTGTTCAGATACAGCTTCGTGTATGAAAAAAGCTGTCATAGCATGGTTATGCATGGTTGAATTTAGTCAGCCTGCAAGCTCACACTCCTGTGAGTCATATAGTAGCTTTTAGGCTCTGATCAAGGAAGAATTTAGTCACGTGTTTAACTGTTTCCTTAGGAAGTGGGGATCAGCTTTCATTTACACTTTCCTTAACAAGAGCTGGGGGCTGAAAATTATAGTATTTACCTGTAATTTGCTTGCATTCTGTAGGCAGCAGAACTTTGTTTCTTACTAGATGGAGACGTGTGATCCTAACAGGGAGTCTTTCCTACTTAAAGTTGCTATGACAGCTGACAACTTGGATAACTCTGCTGCATTAAAGCATGGTATCAGTTGTTTGCATTTATCTCCCCTTGTTTTCCAGACATCAGTGCTGCAAAATCTGTTATCTGCTTTAATCATATTAAGCAATTTAATTGAAGCAGTGCAATATAGCCTGCGTAACTTGGCATTCAGAGCTTCTGCTTGCTGTTTTATCCAAAGGCAGGAAAAGTATTGAATATAAATGAGATGATGTAGGCCAAATATGCCCGTTGCACTTCATGTTGAATGTGGCAAACCTGCAACACGTGTAGTGAATGAGAGAATGCACATGTTTTTCTTAGTAGCTAATCTTGATTTGAACAGTACGGTCCTATGTATTTACACTCAGAGTACTGAGTGTGGGATTGCTGTCTTAAGCATTGCTCCCTTTCCCTAGGTTGGTGCAATTGTTTGAACTATAGAAAACTTGCAGATCTAGGGTATGCATGGACCACTGTCAGAATTCTATAGAAGCAGAGGAAATAATTTATTTTAGCGATGTTTGATCAGTCAGTCTGGTTACCAAATAAGAGAACTTTAGTTCCAAGGATGAAAGGGTGCGGGCTGATCCTGATCACATTTAGTTTTAATTTTTTTTGCTTATTTCCCCCTACCCTCATTGTTCTTTCAGGCACCTTTGGAATGTCTAACAGAGACAGCTACTTTTACGCGGCGATTGTCGCAGTGGTTGCTGTCCATGTTGTACTGGCTCTTTTTGTCTACGTAGCGTGGAATGAAGGCTCCCGGCAATGGCGGGAAGGCAAACAGGACTAATTTGGAGCTACAGCCTGACAGACAAGCAGCCACTTGCAGGTGTAGTGCAGACCAAAAGTGTCAGTCTAGGATTTAGACTAAAGTTTTGGGAGTCTTGTGTTCAAATAGGACAAGACTGGCTTATGTTGCCTCTCATACCTAGTGCTTGTTTTAAGTGACAACCTCAAAGCAGCTGTGAACCCGGAACTTGGAAGATTTGGGAAAACCACAAAGATGGGAAATGGAGTACACCAGAAGGGAAATGCTCTCAGGTGACTAGCTTAGCAGCCTTTCAAGAACTATTTTGAAATCCACATTGAAAAAATTCATAAAGTGAAAGTTGGGGATTCCTGCACTTCTTGTTAGAGTCTGGATCACAAATGGATGATGTTATTGTGAAACATCTGATTCCAGATTGTTCATCTAGGTGCGAGTGCAGTTTTAGGGGCCTCAGTCTACACGAGGCTCTTCTTCTGGTTAAGAAACACAAATGCTGGGGGGTATGGCTTGCCTTTTGGATCAAGAAGGCGTGATGATGTATGTCTGATCCTCAACATTTCGGTGTCAGATGTCTTTCCCGGCAAAGTATAGCGTTTGCCAAATGCCATGATCTTGAATACTAATCAATTTGTTACTCATCTCTGAGAAGCACTTTTCTTTGAGGGTGCATTTTGCTTAATTTCTTAAGGCATGGTAAACATATACCAGTTACACTTACATGAATGATCATAATCGTATTGGACAATCCAAAATGTCTCTGTGTTGCATATTAAGGCTTTACGCATATTTTCGTCATTCGTGTTGATCTCCAACATCTTTGTAATGGTACCATTCCATTCTAGTCCTCTTTGTCAATGATGTAAAGAACCTGATGTTTACCAATGTGATATTGCACCTGTTTGGCATTGCTGCCTCAACTCAAATCCCTGTAAATAAATGAGCTTGTAATATTACTTCTGGTGCTTCTGCATCATGAGCAAAATGCACGAGGGTAAAACCCAAAGCAGACATAACTGAACAAAAGAAGTGACTTGAGCTTTGCATTTGGTTTGCCATTAATGACTGTTTAGCATTATTTTTGTGAAATCATGGAAAAGGCCTCCTGCCCTACCTCCTTTTCATTGATGAAGCTGTGGGCAGTGTTGCTTTAAGGATTTAAGGCTCAGTTGGAATGAATGATATACTACGAACTGGTGGATTTGTATCTGTTTCAGTATCTAATGTGAAATTAGGTTAAAAACATAGTTTTCCTTAAATTAATGCCCAATTTTCTTTCCTTGCTAGGTTAGATGTATTCTGCTTGTGTAGTTCTTAAGGGGTAATTGCTAGGGTACAGAATGTTTGAGGTGATACTTCTGTTCCACAGATAAGGGATTGCTTCTTACGTTCATGTGAAGCACTGAAAATATTTCAAGTGTAGTATTCCTCGTGGGCAGTTTGCATCAGTTCAAGGGTCTGCATGCAAGGTATACTCCTCAACAGAGGACTCAGCTGCTGTTGGGTACTTGCTGCAGCTGGCCCACTGAAGAATGACCCCACAGCCTTGTTGAATTGCAAATTTATTTTGTACAATATTGTGCTAATTTTCCTTTCCCCCCCCTTAGATAGGAAATTTATGTTGTATAGTGAAGTCTGCTTTTTAAAAATAAAATATACTATAAATTGCTTGCTGGGTTGTCCAAGTGAATGCAGATGTTGAAACAGAGGCATTATGGTTCACACATAACAACAACCCGTTGGTTTAAGCATAGACAGGAACAAGCAACTGCACTGCCTACGATAAGTCTGCCCTTTATGTTTTTGGTATGCAGCTCCTTTGTAGGTTGTGGCATACAGCATTCGAAGTTGGGCTGAGAGATTTTTAGGGTCTAAACTCTGTGGCTGTTCTGGGTTTGGACATCACATTCAACAACCTGCAAAGGAGCCAGTCCTAAATTGTGGGCTAAAAATAGATGAGGTAGACAAGCTTGACCCCACGTAGGCATGACACTCTGTCAGTTTTTAACCTGATGGGTTGTCATGTTGTGAACAGGCCTGGAAGCTTCTGAATTATCTGCTAGCCAGTATGTTGCAATTAATGTTTTATTGATGCTACTGAAATGTTCTTTTTTCTTTTTAAATTGGTAGTTATGCTATGGATTCGTATCCTAGGTTATACCCATGGCACATCTTCATTGAGAAGCTACCCCCACACTCTAAAAATCTTCAGGTGAGAAAAAGAAGTGGCCTTTCCCATCATAGTATCCTGTCCAGGGTAATGAATATCCTTCTCTTTAGGACTCTAGTTTTGTGTTTTCAACGGTTAATTAATATAACAGAATTTTTGGTTTATGACTCTGACTTATTTAAGGAACAGAGTCTGTGATTCAGTCATCCCAATGGATAATGGACAGAAGATCCATGATTAGCCATTCAATGGCAGGAGGACTTGAGTAGGCCAGGATTTTTCTGGAACCCTGGTTTGCTAAGAAATGTGAACCAAGGTGCTTTCTGCAGGGAAGGATTTCAACTACTGGAGAAGTCTGCATATCAAGTGTGATGATCTGTTCTGTTTTGTTAGGAGTGTGCATGTGAGTGGGTTGGGGGAGATCAAAGGATGGTGTAACCTGCAGAGAGACACAGCATAGATTTTGGGGAAATGCTGATACTGGAATACGAAAATAGGGAATGTTATTTATGCATATTGTCCTTCAAATATCACTGAGGGGTGGCTTATTTAGAACTGAAGGCTGCATCGTTTCTACTTGTAGAGAAGTGGCTTTATTCTGGTGTATGGAAGAAGAAGGGAATGTACCTAAACTCTAGCACAGCAGAGCTTGGAAAGGGAGCTTCTTTGTAATTTACTGGGTAGGGTGAAGAATTCTCTGCTATATTTATTACTGTTACACTTTAGTTCTGGTTGTTTTTCCAAGGAAGTCAAACTTCCATATGTGGCTGGCTACTTTCTGCTCTCCAGTTTACACCTGCCAAAATCCCATGAGTGACAGGTTCGGCTGAGTGTGCGCGCACATCCGTGCATCTGAGAGACTGACCCAGATTACTGATAGGAATTTAAAACTGGATCTCCATGCTCTCTCTCTCTACTAGGAGGGGGCTGTCTGCAGATATTTTGGACGACTTCTTCAGCCCTCACAAGCATGGATGAAAGACAGGAATGCTGAGCATTGAGGTTCAGCACTTGTGGAGATGTGCTTTCTGCCCACACATGCTCTGGCTCCCAGTAAAGAAGTCTCCTCTAACGTGCAAAGGAAATCAGGGTTAGAGCATTTATTCAGGTCCAGTCATAATGTATTCATGCAGTTTTCCCTTGTGTGACTTTAAAGGGGTTAAGGTGTCCAGTAAAAAGATGTCTAGAATGGTAAGGCAGTAGCATACTTAAAGCACAATCTGTCACATTCCCTGACCCTTTTTTTAGATTGCTTCCAGGGTAGTGAGAGTTGCATACGTTCTGAAATGGGTAGACTTGCTCATGTGGCATAGAATGAATGCTAGAAATAATGGTTAGATGCCGAGATCCTGGTAAATATTTAAACAGGCTACACTCGCCCATTCAAATTACTCACTAGATCTTGCCCCACACACACATGCACGTTTCACATTTGTGGTGGGCCGCTCACCTCTGCCAACATATTTCCATCAAAACCTTGCTTCGGGTCACCTCCAGCCCCGGGAATGCACACCTATGGGTTTGCTCTTGCTTTGGTCAGTGATGGTCTTCACATTCTGTCCTGTGACTTTCCTTGTTGTATTCGGAATTCAAATCCCACTCCAGGTATTAAATTGGACGGGAAAAGATTGCTCAGGAAAATGAATGCAGCAGCTCTCCTTAAGTGCCCAACTCTGTTCTTGAGTGTGTTTGGCAGCGATAAGCCTAAGCAGTAAAAAGTACAATTTCCATGAGGCAGCTCATGCGCGCTTCTGAAGGGAGACGTCATGAGTGAGCGCAGTGACCTTTATCTGTGTCGTGTGCCAGGTGAAGTACAATGGAAACTGGTTCTTCAACCAGGGGTAGCTCTCCCTGTGGCAAATGAATCCATCCCATGAGTCATAAAGACTAGTGAGCATTGTGCCCTTTTTTCTGGTTGGGGCTATACATATTTGGTGCATGTATATTACGAGGCAGGAGGAGGAGACCAAATATGAGAAGGATCAATTCCATATTGGAAGTCAGCCTTGAGTTTACAAGACCTCAGTGTGCCTGTCAAGGACGGGGCATGTAAGTCAGATGACCTGAGGGCATGTAAGAACATCGTCCTAGGAAAAACAATCTCTGGTTCAGCATGAATTAGTGCCATATGTTTTAGAAATAGTCATATAAGGGTTCTATGGATTTATCCAGTTACCTGGTTTTGTATTATTATTCCTCCTCCTCACCTTCATTTGAGAGAGACTGACCCAGCGGGCATAGCCACATAAGCATGCTGGTCTAGTCCAGTGTGCCGTTCATGCCGTGACAAACCAGCTGCCCACAGGCTCCCTCAAGCAGGCTCTGCAGGCAGCAGCTACTCTGCTCACGCACTCCAGCACTTGCTGCGCACAGGCACAACGCTTCTGGCACCGGGGCCTAGATTAGTAGATGCTGGTTGCTACTGCCTCTAGGGATGGTCTGCAAGGCTTCATGCAGCTGGGCTAGGAAGTCCCTCCTCCTGAGATCTTGACGAGTTGCTGCGAGTTAGCTCAGGGTTGCATCAATAACTCTCAGGCTTTCTTGGTTCAAACAGTGCTGCAGGATTATGGTATACTAAGAAGGAAACATCTGGCATTGGGCAGTTAGGTGGGGTGTAGTAGACCCACAAGGGTTTCTGACACTCATTTTAACAACAACAGCCACAAAGTCTGCCCTCCACCCTCATTTAGGTTGCATGGACTCCTGATTTGTAGTAACTGGAATGCAGATAGGTACAGTACTTGTGTATGCAGCTCACCTCCGGGCATGGCTCGTGGGGTGCAGGTTCATCCCCAAGCTGCCATTTTGTGTCTGGGTCTGGTTGGTGGATCTTGGTGTCACAGCTAGAAAATGAGTCTGAAGTTTTGTGTCCGAAGTCTTTCCGTGTACTCTCAAGTCTTGTGGGGCGTTGGCTTGCCTTGTTGGACCTTGTCCTGTGCCACGTAGGGGAGTGGGAAGAAGATGGATCTCTGAGTAGTTTGCAGCTGATGGACTGCAATGGCTAATGTCCAGTGGTTTTAGCAACAGAAGTCCCCTTGCCCTTTCTATATCAGGTGCTAAAAAGCCATGCTGCCTGGGGAGAAAGAGGGGTAACGTTGTGGGTGAAAACTTCCCTTCTGCTAATGAAAACAAATTCCGGGTCTCATGCAGTCAGGGGCACCTCATCCCAAAATTCTGTCTTCACCTTCCTGAGCTGCTCCTACGAGTGTGAGCTTGGCTCCAAATTGTTGATATCGGACTTCTAGCAGAAAGCTACCATAGATCCTTCAAACCTAAACTCTGTCCACCCGCCCCTGCCAGAAGACACGCCCCAAATTCTGCCATGGCTAAGCCGTGGAGGGTGACTTCTTGTAAGGAAACACAGTCCAACATTTTTTCTAAGGAGTCCTGGATACTCTTCCCAAATAGAAGTACCCTTCCCAACCTGAGGGTTCCTCAGGTTGCAGTTTGAGACAGATTGGGACAGACATGTCGCTGGCAGCATGCTGTTGAGCGTTGTGTGTCAGTTTGCCTGGTTTCTGTGTACATTTTGTTCTCAGCTAACAAGTTTCACACAAATAAGTTAAATCCTGTTTTCTGGCACTGCAGGGAAAAGCTTGTGTTTGAATTAAGATGCAGTAGCTGAAGATTGAGTTACAAAATCCCTACTTTTGGAAAAATGCATTCATGTTGAGCTGATACTTTCTATTGTGTGTTGTTTGTCCCTTCCTTTTTGTGCATACTTAAATATTGGGTTGGTTTTTTTCCTATTCTGTAATAATGCCTTTTTCTTTTACCCAAATGCTCCCTTTCATTCTCCTTTCTTTTTTGAACAAATGGCAGAACTGTTTTCCGTAATCTCTTTGATTTGCAAGCTCTCCTCTCCTCTCCTCTCCTCTCCTCTCCTCTCCTCTCCTCTCCTCTCCTCTCTGAGATTATACAACAGAAGCAATGAATTGATTTTAGAGGACAAAGCTGTGCTTCATATCCTCCAACAGCGATGACTCACAAGTTGAAGCTGACCCCCATCGCTTTTCCATCCAGCTAATAAATTAAACGTAAGATTTGTGGGTTGTGTTGTGTCCTTTTGAAGAACCTACCATGCTTTACCTCATCAGGAAGTTTCTTGGTGTATGTTGGTTCTCAGAAGAGAAAACTCAAAATTTACTATCACAGAGGAAATCAAGCACTGTCTATGGTAATTTAACACAATCTCTTTGCTACTTTGGGTGAGTAAAATGTTAAATTTCCAAAAATAGTGGCTAAGCTGGAGAAGATGACTCATTGGCTCTTCTGTTGGTAAATTCTAAGGGAGCTTCTGAAATACTGTTCTGCATTATATGTAGCAACCTCTTGTACTTATGAACTTGCTTGGTGGTCTCATAGGCGACTAAGGAATAGGTGGGGGCAGGGAAGGTGGATTGCTGTGGCCTCTCTCTGCCACCCTGTCTGGCAGAAAGGAGGCTAGTTAAAAGTTGCAAAGCAACTAGTAACCTGTGCTTTCGTGCTGGCCGCATCA